TATTAGCCAATAGTGGATTTTCCAGTTTTCTATTATGTAGTGACTGAAGTACTGATAGTGAGTCGGAGAAGATGATGCTGTTTAAAATACGCTTGCTTGCAGTGTATTGCAAAGCAAGGTCTATTGCTCTAATTTCGGCTGAAAAAATTGACGTACCATTTGGCAAGCGAACTTTGGCTGTGTGTTTTCCACATACGAAGGCTGCAGCAGCCTTTTCCTCATCTTTTGGTCCATCAGTATGTATTCTTGTCTAATTTTCAAATTGTGAGAGGAGTTCATGGTAAGAGTTTTGGAAAATGGAAGGGTTTGTCTCCGATTTTGTTCCATCATGTAACGTGAAAATTACCGTTGGCTGCTGAAGTAGCCATGGTTGTGTGTCGGAGACGGTTGCTTTTAGAATTTTTGAAAGATCAATTTGGGTACTTTCGAGGAGTTGGGATATTCTAATGCCAAATGTAGGTATGACATTTGGTTTATTGTCATATAAGGTTTTATATTTTGGTTCAAAAAATCTCGGTTCAGATGGCTGGATCTTTATTTGAAGTATATTGTGCGGAAAGCATTTGTCTACGATGTGATAAGGATGGTTCATCCGCTTCAACGGGTAGGCTTTCACACGGGGATGTATTACATGCTCTCAGGGCAAGTCTTATTCCCTGATGATTGATGGGATCAAACATCTTTAAATAGGATTTTCTTGCTGAACCATAGACAAGGCAACCATAGTCTAATTTCGAGCGGAAGAACGTTCTGTATAAACTGAGTATGACTCTCTTATCAGCATAGCATCCCAGTCAGTGTGCGCTATTATTTTAAGTAAGTCAAGAGAATTCAAACATTTAGCTTTCAAATGTTTCAGGTGTGGAATAAAAGTCAGTTTTCTATCGATGATAATTCTTAAAAATTTTGTTTCCTCAACAACTGGAATAGGTGTTCCTTCCAGCGTGAGTTTAGATCCATCATGATGTCTTCGAAACTGACAAAAATGAAAAATGCCTACAGAGTGTTTTTGATTTTGAGAATTTGAGGTCATTAGTATTGGCCTAATTAAAATCTTGTTGATATTTTGTTGTAATTGTCTTTCGATTGCATGCATGTTCTTGGATCGGTAACATATTAAAAAGTCGTCAACATATAGGGAGCAATCCACACCTGGCGTCGGACACTTGGTGATGCTATTAATTTTTATGTTGATAAACGTTACAGATAAAATACTGCCCTGGGGCACACCCGTCTCTTGATCGTGCATATCAGAATGGGTGGGGCCCACTCGAACCTTGAATTCGCTGTCTGAGAAGAAGTTTGATATGAACGAGGGCAGTCGGCCTTTTAGACCCAGATTGTGCAGGTCATTTAGTATTCCGTATTTCCATGTTGCGTCATAGGCCTTTTCTAAATCAGATAAAACCGCTACTAAATGTTCCCTCTTTATAAAAGCATCGCGTATAAATGTATCGAGTCTAGCTAGATGATCGTTGGTACTACGACCATAACGAAAGCTACTTTGGAAAGGAGATATTGAATTGTTGCTTTCCAAATACCATACAAGCCGAGAATTAATCATTCGTTCCACTGTTTTGCATACGCAGTTAGTTAATGATATAGGTCTATAGTTAGTATGATTGGCGCTATCTTTGCATGGTTTGGGAATTGGTTTTAGTGTAGATTCTTTCCAACTGTTTGGTACATTACCAATAATCCATAAGTTATTGAAGATTCCCAGAAGGACTATTAATGATGGTTCTGGAAGGTATTTTAAAACTGGTATCGTCAAGTCCAGCGGATGTATCATGGACATTATTCAAGGATTCCATCAGTTCTGACAATGAAAACGGTTGGTTATAACCCTATGAGTTTTTTGCATGTGAATTTCAGACGTGTTTGTTCTTTTTGAGTTTTAAGTCTTCGAAAGTTTCGGAATAATTAGATGATCAGGAATTTTTGGAGAATCAATCAGCAATTGCATTATATATTTCATACTTGGTTTTATAATTTATGTTATTTAGCTTCAGATGTTGGGGGCAATCGTATTTTCCTTTTCCATTTATTTTGCGGATCGCGTCCCAAACATTTTTTTTATTAAGGGAAGAGAGTTTAAAGTTGAAACATATTTATTCATGATGCTCGTTTACTTTCTTTAATCGTGTCGCGAGTTTTAGCCCTAGCAATACGGTATTAAGTAAAAATTTCGGGCGTTGGACGATTTAATTCTTTCAATGCTTCTCGGCGTTGTTTAAGGGTTTCTTTACATTCTTTAGTGAACCATGGTTTTGGAGTTCTTTGAAAATTTGGCAAGGACTTACGAATGGACTATTCTGCAATCTCAATTAAGATAGATGTAAATTGTCGAATCGAATGATCATCGTTAAGTACGGTATTCCTGGTAAGTCTGATTGTGCAGAATGCTTGAAATTTGATCCAGTCAGACTTTTTTAAGTTCCACTGTGGAATCGTGTCATCAATTATGGCACTGGTGTTCTTAAGATAGATTGGAAAGCGATCATTGCTATGAAGGTCATCAGCGACTTTCCAATTATAATCCAAAAAGGAGTGAAGGAGATCAATGTGTTAAGTCAATATAAGTGTAATTACCAGTTCCTGGGTGTAAGTAAGTCAGAGACCTATTATTAAATAGACACAAGTCGTGTCTAGTATCAAAATCTTCAACTTTGTTTGCCCTTGTAGTTGATGTAATTTGATCCGCACAAAATGTTACGCCCATTGAAATAATCAAGTAAAACAAATGACGTGGGGAGTTGTTGAACAAGTGTCTAATTCGTTTGGTAATAACTTGGTATTTGGTGGTATGTAGAGAGACCAAAATGTAATCACTCGATGTAGAGTGACAATTACAGCAATGGCTTGTAAATATGTATTTAAAGGGATGGTTCTATGTGGGGCTCTATTGTTCACAGCAATAGAAACCCCTCCTGAGGCCCTGTCAACGTTCTGTAGGTAGGTGTTAAACAGGGAGTAGTTTTTGAATGTGATGTTGTCCGTATCTTTTGAAAAGGTTTCCTGAAGGCATAATAAAGCAGGATCATATTCATTTAAAAGCAGAAGAATATTATTGTAATTACCTTTAAGTCATCGACAATTCCATTGTATAATTGTGTTTTTCATTATAAATGTAGAATATAGATTTTGGATTTAGGTTAGACTTTTGGAGGGAAACATCGATAGGGTTATTTATCTGGGGGAAATACTAGTGTATTGTTTTGTTAGGTCTGAAGCTACTTTGAGAACACGGAGCTCTATCTTCTGCATCCATGCTCTTAATGTCCCTAAATCTGTTGAAGAGTTAATGGGATCTTCTGACTTCTTTTGTTATCTATTTCCTTAGGATTTGTTTTTCTTTGGTGATTTGGTTTGCTGAGTGTTATATAACGTCGTTTGGGTAGATGCCGTGGATTTGTGTGTTTTGCAATGGTGGGTGTTACTTCTTAATGTTTACTCGGGTGCATCTATTTGAGTTTGAGCATCCTTCGATGTCGTAGGATTATTTTTCACTATAGTGGAGAAGGATGGGTGAGGAAGAGATATTTTTGCCTGAACTAGCTTTCTGGCCACTGGATAAGAAATGTTGGATGTGTATTTAATCCTCTGATTTTCCTTCTCTTGTTTCCAGGTATCACAATATTTGGAATTGGCGTGGTGTTCTTTTGCACAGTTGACATTATGCGGAGTTGCTCTGCACTGAGCTTCCTGGTGAGAGCTATCACCGCATCGGCCACATATTTGGTTTCTTAAACAGCGGGCATCATGGTGTCCATAGTTTTCACACTTGTAGCATCGAAGTGGGTTGGAAATATACACGTCAACCTTCACTTGCAGAAAACCATCTGTGCCCATTCTGGGAACTGTTTGTTTATTCAATGTGAGTATAATAGCGCTGGTATCTTGCAGATTGTTGTTACGTTAGATACGTATTCTGCGGACTGCAGTGAGACCTTCATTTTGTCATTCCTTCAATGATATCTGTGTCGGTGACTCCTGCCAAGTCACGACAGCGAATGACACCTTTAGAAGTATTCAATGTTGTGTGGACGAACGTCGACGCTGGAATATCGAAGAAAGTTTTTATTGTCTTGAGGTTTTCTGTTTGACCTCGTCGTTGACATTCAACAAGAAGGCAACCAGACTTCAACTTTTTAACAGTTTTTGGCGTCCGAATCAATCCGATTATTGTCTTTTTTATAATAAACGGAGAAAGTGCAGTAAGCGGTTTTGAGGCATCTTTGGACTGTATTTCCATGAAGTGTGGAAATGAATCCACGCCACATGGGTTGTCGTCTAATTCAAATTATGTTTTGGTTTGTTTTAATTGATTGTGTTATTATTTTCCACGCTGGTGTGTTTAAATGTTTAAATGTTAAGCATCCGCGCTCCCCACCCACCAAGAAGTCCAACAAGAGGACACTCTTAAAGTGCAAGGGATACGCAGATGTTATATTCCGTTAATAAAGTCACCTTCCTGTGAGATATACTCAACCGGTAAAATTAACCTCAGATCGACTCGTTGAACCACCGCTTTTTAGGAAGTCTTCTACGATGTTGGAAAGGGAAAATTAAAGGGATAGAATGTATGGGCAACGGTGGTATCAAGAGACATAGAAGAAGAAAAGATAAAGAACGAGAATGAGTAACTAAAGACATCCTAGGGCTTGGCGTGACCAGCCGATTTGTTGAGACCGGGCCCATCCCGACCACCCGTCTAGTAAAAGGAGAGGCAAAAGTAGTGTGCTGCATCGAAAAGCCTCTGCTCAACTACCAGGATCCTTTCCTCCTCCGACACGGGACACAACCCACGGCAAACAGGTTGCCTCTACTTATTTGCCTCTAACGACACGTAGCGAGGCACGTCGGGCCAATACTACAACCCCGGACCCGCAGGGGGATCATATTACTCTGGCACCTGGCTGACCGATCCTAACAATGACCTCTTAATGATCAGCGCCTAGCGAAGCAGATGTTAATAACATTTGTATAAGTCTTTAATATGACTCGCTGGGGTTTGAACCCACGACCTCCCGCATATTAGGCGGACGCTCTAACCACTAGGTCACTGGAGCGTCTGGGTTCTGTGCAGTGTGCACTACGACCCAACATATAAGTGATTATATATATATTAATATTTTAGATAACTTTTTAATGAAATTATGTTCTCTATGATTACAATTCATAGACTAAATGCACTCTCCACTTTAGTTTTTAAACAGGTTGTAAAGTACAGAGACATACGTATTGGATAACATTTTCAAAAATGCCTTAAGTTTACTTTTCCTAACTGCATCACCCCTTCCAATAACAACAGATCAGTTAAATTGCTCAAGAACAACCCGCAAAAGAAAAAAAAAACAGTTGCAAAAACTCATTTTAATAGTTTATCTTTTACTTGACACTTTTCAACATTTGGAACATAATGCAATTATTAATAAAGGGAGTGACTAATGTAAATTCAAATAAAATTCTGGAATAATTTGGTTTAGATTTGAAACTATTACAGGTGTTCCAGATTACATGTTCTTGTATAATTTATGACCAATTAGAGACACACTTAATAAAATGAAGGTTTGATGTCTGCCTGAATCATATAATAGAAAGCATCGACTCTTTGATTCTTCCTTTCCACATTAATCCTTACCTGACAACGCCAGCAATTGTATTTTATCAGATATTTGTTAGCGATATTGCATGTTAACATTTAAATATCAATATAGTTTGTGCTTTTTTGTAAAACAAGTACTTGTCTCTAAAAAGTTTTCATCCAAAGAGGACCTTTTGATTTTACTTGTAAGCAGTTTTATATGCATTTTGTTTTGTTAACCACATACAAGTCTTGCGATGGATGGATTGAAAAATTCAGTATGACATTCTGCGTTTTTCTTTTCTTTTATATACTGATGAAAAGTTACATTCGTTTCATATGCCTCTGTATAATTAACACAACATTCAATTTATAATGCATTCAATGTTCTTTTTAAAAATTGTAATTGTCATAATATTGTCTATTAAAATGGAAACATGCAGACAGCTTCGTCTATGACTTTTAAGATAAGATACCATAATCAAAAAATTCTATAATGATTGTGTACTTACAGCTGATAGAGTACATTGCATACAATTTGATATGTTCAGCATATCGGTATAAAATAATATGGTGCACATACAAAAAAATACAAGTATTTACTGTTGTCTAATTCATGCTATAGTTGGCAAAGATATTTTCTTCAATGACAAGTTCTAAACTGCTGTTTTATTTATACCTAGGATTAGAACTGTTGTGTCAGTGAGCAAATAAAATAATTCTTGATATATAGCTTGGAAAATAATTGTACCGTATTCCATCAGATTCGAAGACACGCATTAATCGCGTACACCAACATAACAGCTTTACCTATGAATAAAGTAGTGCAGGCAAGAATAAAAGGAATTGCACCAAACATAAAACTTTAAATGCTGATGAAGTGGTTTATATGCCTATTTAATTATAATACCAATACTAATGTTGATGATTATAATAGTGTTGGTAGTAGTAGTAGTAGTGTCAGTGGTGTTGATAGGACAGAAATATATATCGTGGTTGTGCTGTGCCGCTATTATGATATATGTATGTATTCATGTGGCAATAGCAAAGAAGTAAAAAAGAATGAAGATAGATAAACAACTACAAACGATGCACCTCCCATTTTTTTGTTTTTTTCTTTTCTGATCACAAGTTGAAAATATGATATATTTCAGGTCTCACAACTGAATCTATTGTTATTTCCATAATTATTCCTCCTTAATTCATTTCATGTAGTACAATGCAACCATTAGTCACTCAATCGTAATTTGAACAAAATATCGAAATATGAGTCTGAATGAAGTTACCAACTTTGAACAGATTTCGATTAGCCCCGAGTTCATCTTCACCGGGCAACTATGTGCCAGAGAATATCAATCTATTATTTATATTATTGACCTAACTGAGAGATATATTATAATTACTTCTCCATTACGTGAGGCTCACCCCGAGTTTATGTACATTTTTGATTAAGATCCTGGCGGAATGGTAAAAGCATGACCTTTATCATCTATACGAAATACACACTCTTATAATGATGCTACTACTATTGTATTCTGATATCATCTTAGTTCTTTGTAAAACCCTACCTATTTAAAGACATGGGTCAGTTTTTGTTTTCAAGTAACAGGTGATGTAATTCACCCTCTTGGAAAAATATCAATAAACCCCTCAGTTTTAGAGTTACATCTTTTTAAACATATGTACAATGTTACTACTATTAATTTGTTGAATTTGTTTTGGAAATATGGAAAATAGTTGCTGCAAATATATTACATAAAGGATAGATTTACTGCAATAGACTATTCCTGAAACCAGAAGTGGAGAATAAGCAGTCTGTTTGCTTGTTTACATCAGAAGCTTCTTTTTGAATACGTATGTATGTCTTGTGGATTTTAATGTAGAGTAGCTTTAACAATTTTTCATTGATATTGCTACGATGTCAGCAGTGTGGTAGGTTATAGTGATGTCCAGCACTGGGGCATCATGGGGTATATATGCAACAATGTATCCTACCCAGTCGCATTTTCCTGATACCAGGCCGGTCAGTCCTAACATTAATCTCTTGATGCTGAGCGCCAATTGAGGCTGCTGTTAGTATAATTTTTATATTAGTCTTTAGTGTGACTCTGTCAGGGTTCGAACCCGCGGTCTCCCACATATGAGGTCGACCCTCCGACAAGAGGGTCTAGCTTATAATTGCGTATGACTTTTAGGTTTCCTGCAATAATGATCATTTGCATAGAAAAAAAAAACATTTTATATTACCAAAAGCCTGGGTACCAAAAGAAAAAAGTCAAATTAGATTTTGTAGTTTATAAGTATTTTATATGTTTATTGAAAAGCACGATGTCGTCAAATATCCAAAGTGTTTGTTGGGGTATATTTCCATATGTGTGTACATGTTTCTCTTGTATCCTGTATATTGAACTACAAAAATTATCAGATTAATATTAGTTCAGGATGTAATTAACAAAATATAGAATGACTAACCAATACTTATCGTATGTACACAAGTGACATGTAATCTCCCATCCTGCGCTCTTCCTGATGTAGTATTCTTGTATTAAGTTGTTTGTACTACCTTTTCTGGTTATTCCGCTGTTAGTATATTTAGAAAATGGAAATTCTAGATTAGGTGACGAAATGAACAGCAAAAGCTAGCAAGATACGTTAAAGAACAAATAATAAACCTGTTCATATAAAATCATGATCATGCAAGTTATTCTTTGTAACACATTTTTAGTTCGTACTCTTGTTTCTTACGAATGTTACACAAATACTTTATTTCCTAGCCTGGTTTCATGATGTTATCCAGAAGAATGACACCAGCACGTAACAGAATGATATCAAGCTATTAAATTTGCCACGTTTCACGTGAGTTTTGAAGCTGTTGAACATATCTCTTTATATAACGATGTATAATTACCTTCATGTATACTTTGATAAGTAACATCGTCTCGTTTCATGGTTGTATGATTAACATGAATAATTATTGAAGCTTCATTTGTTTTTCGATGCATGATGTCATCAGTACCAACATACGCCAGTGTTAATATAATAAGGTCAGGACACGGATTGCTACAGGCTTTTTATTGGTTGATCGTGGCTCTCATTTGCTACTGTATATGTATAAAAGGAAAGTTGAGACATCGATTCGGGGTCGAGGTACATATTCTGAACACCAACTTAGCGTTTGTAAGTAAAGAAACTAAACCATCTCTATGACTCTAATGCAGGTATTATTTACGGTGGAGTAAACAAGCCATGGCAATAATATAATAACTATTCCTAGTTTTAAAATACAATCCAAACTACCATATGTACCCAGTTATGGAGACATACAATGGTAAAATTCATGCATGTCATGGATGCACATTTACTCATCTTAAATATAAGTTGTTGCTTTAAGATTTTATTTAATTGTATTTGGTCAAAGTCTATTCAATTCTGACTATTGTAGGTCTGTTCATTATTTGTGATTAAGAAACATCCAGAAAAAGATTATCGATCACTTTGGAGTTTTACTATAGCGGCCAGGTAATAAACTGGGTCAAATCAAGACCAAGGCGACTCGAGTCGTAACAATATAGGTAAGCGTAGTATGAATGTGTTTGCCAACATGCGTAGCTTACATTGTGACATCAAGGCGCCAGACATTCAGTCAAAATCACACCATATCGCCAATCTCTTCCAAAAATGAAATGTCAATGTATTACATTTGCGCATAATAACCTTATGAGGGAATATGAATGCACTATGATCCAAATAAACACAATAATTGCCTTTGAAATGAATGTGGAATCAAATTCTAAAAAATGACAAACATTGTTGAAATACTTGGTAGTGAATGCGTGTATAACCGGTATTAACTTGGATAATTAATCAATCTGGGTCTAAAATCATTGGTATGAGATAATTATTTAGTCTGGGTCTAAAATCATTGGCAAGAGATAAACACTTAGTCTATGTCTAAAATCATGTGCATGAGATAAACAATCAGTCTTGGTCTAAAATCATGTGCATCATATAAACGATTAGTATGGGTCTAAAATCATTGCCTTGAGATAAACGATCACTCTGGGTCTAAAATCATTGCCTTGAGATAAACGATCAGTTTGGGTCTAAAATCACTGGCAAGAGATAAACAATCAGTCTGGGTCAAAAATCATGTGCATGAGATAAACGATCAGTCTGGTCTAAAATCATTGGCATGAGATAAACGATCAGTCTGGGTCTAAAATCATTGGCATGAGATAAAAGATCAGTTTGGGACTAAAATCATTGGCAGGAGATAAAAGATCAGTTTGGGACTAAAATCATTGGCAAGAGATAAAAAATCAGCCTGGGTCAAAAATCATGTGCATGAGATAAACAATAAGTCTGGGTCCCGTTCTGGAGATAGTCAGGAGTAGTAAATTTCAGTTTTGAACCATTTGAATTGTTGTTTGAAAAAAAACAAACATGGGTTTTTAGTAGCATTGATATTTTAAAGCAATTTGCTGA